ATATTCTTTGTGCAGTCGTCTGCGGACTGCACATGTGGGACTCGACATGCCTTGACTCTTATAGATCCCCGTGAGGCTTTGCCACCAATCCGGAAGAAACCGATGTCATCTTCGAGCCGTGGGCTTGACGAGTGATTGAAGCTTGCCATTTACAAGAGCCATCTCCTGAGCTCGCTAGAAGGTCCCAATTCCCACTACTGTGAAGATTGTAAGATGTGTGAGTCCACGAACGTTTATACTGCATTGAGCCGGTTTTCCGAGCTCACTCACATTGGTTGATGTGGAACAACTTGGCAATTACGGCATCCGGCCGCCCACAAACATCTTCTGCGTTTCCATCCATCCGACTCATCGACCAACATTTGGCCCACTGCCGGCAAATCTCAGGAAGAAGTTCAATCCGGCACATGCATCATGCGAGATACCGACATCCCAAAAGCACCTGTTTGCCTGAACAGTTTTCTGAACCAGTGATGGCCCTCGGCTCCTCTGTCAGCTTGTCCATCGTTTCTTTGAAACGCTTCTGCCGTGGTCCCTGATGTCCCGGGTCAACTGCCACTTCTGGATCATGCCATGCCATGTGCATGATGCTAGATAGTGTGATGTCCTAAGACATGTCGGGAGTCAGTATGATTCAGCACATTAACATCACCAAGCCCATGGCATCACACAACTTTGCGTAGATCTTAGCTCATGTATTATGCATTAGAATCCGAAAGCCATAAAAGCCATGCCATACAATGCTACAGAACACGAAGAGACAGATAGCAGCGCACCACAGCATGACCAAAAACAGGGACCGGACAAAACGCAGAAAGCAACTGATGCCCGAGCCAACATAACCACAACACATAAGCACAAGCACAGACACGCAAACACACACACACACACACACAGACACACACACACAGAGACACAGACAGACAGACAGACAGACAGACAGACAGACAGACAGACAGACAGACAGACAGACAGACAGACCGACGGACGGACGGACGGACAGACAGACAGACAGACAGACAGACAGTCTCTCTCTCTCTCTCTCTCTCTCTCTCTCTCTCTCTCTCACATCATGACAAGATGCAAGCCGCTGCAGCGAAACCTGCAGACGACACCCTGGTGCACGAAGACTTTCATGAGGTCACACAACAACACAACAAGAGATAGCAAAGGGATAGCAACACTTGCACGCAGACTGCCAGGCGCAGTAAGGCCTGGCACGGAGTTCTCGTGATCGGTTTGCATGCATAAATAATCACATGTACTCTCATACATAAATTACATACTTTCATACTCTCATACATACATACATACATACAGACAGACATACATACATTTGTAGCTAGTCTCGTTCATGCTCCTTTCGTACGTCCTTACCTTCTTACATACATGCCTTCATACATACATACGCACACCTATCATTGCATGCCATCGCATGCAACATGACGTTTGGTATGAAAACGCAAAGCGACAGTCGTGATCCTGGACCCAATATAGCATCACAAAGCTGAAGTCACTTGACTTCCAAGCCCGAATTCTCTTTCAATAGCTAGCTGGAGGCGCATCGCTGGGGCCCCAACCACGTGTGTGCGATACTTGTGCAGGAAGACAGCGCCCCCTTCCTCCCGAGCCTGACTTTGCTCATGGGGACAACTTGACGACGCGGCATACCAATTGCTACAAGCATTTTGAGGAGCAAATAGCATATTTGCGATGGGACTTTTATACGGGACAAATCTCAAGCATTTAGGATTCTATATTTCCTGTCTGCGCGGTCCTGCTGCTACTTCAACTACTGCTGCTGCTGTGACTACGAACACCAACGGCTAGTGCTACTGCTTCTGCACCTGTGCTGCTGCTACTGCTACTGATACTGCGCTGCTGCTACTGTGCTACTGCTGCTGCGCTACTGTCGCTGCGCTGCTGCTACTACTAGTACTAGTACTACTGCTGCTGCTGCTACTACTACTACTACTACTACTACTACTACTGCTACTGCTACTGCTACTGCTTCTAGTAGTAGTACTACATAGTACTACTACTATACCACCACTACTAATTACTCCTCCTCCTGCTGCTGTTGCACGAATGGAGCGAGCTCAGATTCGTACATATGGACGTGGGAGGGGCTTGGGGGTTCAGGTTGGGGTTGAGGTTTGAGCAGGGCCCGTTCTGCAACAACCCGTGGTGTGGCATACTGGTTAAAGCCTCTATATAACAAACTATAAACAATATAATATACTATTTTGGGCCACAATAAACTGCAATAAACTAAAACATAAATTATGACGTTGCATTGGGACTCGACTGCCAAGCGAAGCTTGGCTTGGTGGCTTCGTGAGCGAAGCTTTGTTGTCCGGAGACTTGCCTTGTGCCCTTACCGTTCGATGGTAAAACATGACAGCAGCTACACAGGATTGGTTTCAATGCTGACCAATGAAGCAACGAGTGAAACAGTGCCACTAATACAGGAGCCTCAGTGATTAGACTAGGGTTCGGGGGCCCTTTCTACTATATAGTTATAATAAGGAACCGCAAAATAATAGTCGTGGTAAGGCCTTTATAGTAAAGTCACCCGAAGAGTCGTCTTGGGCGAGGAGCATAAACGTCTTTAAAGGTCATGTTGCCGCGGGAGACGATGAAGATCGAGGCGATGGCGCCTGAGGACGCGGAAGGGTGTTTCGGGTTTAGGGTTTCGGGTTTAGCGGTTTTGGGTTTAAGGGTTTAAGGGTGCAGGGGTTTGGGGTTAAAGGGTTTAGCGGTTTTGGGTTTAAGGGTTTAAGGGTGCAGGGGTTTAGGGTTTAAGGGTTTAGGGTATAGTATAGGGCATGCTCCACATCCTTTACCGAAGCCTCTACCTCCGTAAACACTACATATCTTATTCCCTAGTTTAGCTTCAATTTCCGTGTTTCAAGACAAACGGCCCGGTTGTTGCCAGCTGCCGTTTCCGCCTGCCTACGAGGCAGATGGAGACGGCGATGACGACTAACGCTAATGAGACCCGCCGCGTGTTGCATGGCGTAATGATTTTATGATCTCCGCTGGCATGATGACATGATGACAACGTGCACTCTATCTGTCATTACGACAATCGCACACACTACGACTGCCGGACATTTTGTCATTTACTTGAACTCCCACATGTACGGACATTACACCTGAATGCGTAAAGCCATAACCCTGAACCGCCAGGCACTACTTGCTTAGAAGGTAGATCATCAGCACCGTTGCCATCAGGCCAGTCAAAACAATAGCCTCAAGTTTCGCGTAATCGAAAAATATTCACATTCGAGTCGGACCCGGCCGAAGCGCTCAGACTTTGTAGCATCCTCTGTTTCCCCTCCACCATCCTCCCCAATGACCGACGTCTCCGGGGTTTAGCAGCCCAAAGGGTCCAAGGTCCAAGTAACTGCATAGTACAAACTTTAGGGTACTGGCAATCCTTGTATATGGTTTTGGTACCCAAAACGTCCCCAAAGTCCTATAGTTGATAGGGAATACTTGGACCCTCAGGGCTAAGTGGTACTTCTGGAATCCAAACCCTAAACCCTAAACCCTATAGACCCTAAAACCCTAATGCACCTAAACCCTAAACCCTAGACCCTATAGACCCTACAGACCCTATAACCCCAAACCCTGAACTCCTTAAAAAGCGCAGACCCCTAGATCCTTGGACACTTGTGCTGCGTCGGCCCTCTTCACTTGCGGCTCAGCTGAGGCCGACAACGCGAAGCGTTAACAATCAAGCAGCAATAGGGTTTAGGGTTTGGGGTTCCTTAAATCCTAAATCCATCTAAACCCTATACACCCCAAACCACCCTAAACCCGTGAATAAAACCGCAGAACCTGAAAACGTCGCAATCACTAAGAACGCCTATCATGAACCCAGGTCCTCCATTTCTGCTGGTCCAAACATCCTCGAAGAACATCGCCTCGGCGTTGGCAAAGGAAAGCTGCATATCTTGGTGTTCAGGGTTTTTGGGTTGAGGGTTCTAGGTTCTAGGGTTTTGGGCCTTGGAGTTCAGGGTTTTAGGATTTCAGGATCAAGGGGACGGGCTTCAGGGGCCTGGAGCTTCGAGGCATATAATATAAGGGCCTAAATAATTATATCAATACTATTTTGGGGAAGTTCCTTATTATTCTTATGATTATTGTTACTACTGCAGTATAATGGGCCCCAAAACCCTATTCTAATTGTTAAGGCCCCTATATTAGGGGATTGATCTTCAGCGCCCATGGCTTGAAGTCTTCCATCCAAGCCGTCAGTCGGACATCTGGCTTGCGATGCTAAGGCTGCTGGCAAAGATGCTGCTATCGGATGTATCTATGCCACGGTTTAGGTTTTCTATAGGGTTTCGGGTTCTATGATGCCAGTTGTAAAAAAGAAGAAAGATAACATTACTAGCCATCAATCGTCCTAGCCTCCTTGTAGCAGACATGGTTGACCTTCCCCAACCTTCCAAACCAAACATGTGGCGCAGGACTGACCTGCGAGTTCGTGAATCCTTGTACAATGATGAAAGAAAGGCTCGGGATTTGCTCTTGGCTTTTGAAGACATGTAGGCTGCAAAAAGGCTTCAAATCTTCAAACTAAAGCAGCGCGGACTAGAAATAACTTCTAAAGACTGCTGGAGAAGCAGGTGTTTCGTCTTGGAACAGGAATGACAGTGCTCAGCCAAGCTGCACCTCCTTCTCCCTGAAACATGCCACCTAGTAGGTTTAGGCCGCCTGTCGTCACAAGCATCGGACTTTGCCATCGGACTTAGTTCGGATTTTGAGCTTGGGATGTTGAAATCATGTCTACAAACGCGGAGTTCAGAGCCTAGGCTTTGCTTTAGGGTTTAGGGAGTGGGAGTTTTTTGGGGGAGGCTTCCGAAGGCAGGGTCCGACAGACGAGTTAAATTCCTATTCTGAAAGTTGCACCCGACCAATGCCTGCAATGTATCTGCACAGGAATTTGAGAGATGGCCACAATGTAGGGAACACCAAGGAAGAAGCAT